TGGATGGATGGAGGGTGGGTGGGTGGATGGATGGATGGAGGGTGGATGGAGGGTGGATGGATTGTAATGCCTGTACTATCCCCTCCTCTGTAACAGATATGCTGGAAGGTCATTTCCCCCGTTTTCAATAATGCAAAAAGAATTTCGGCCTCATCTCCACCTGACCTCTGACCTTTGGGCCGTTCTGGTTTAGAGGAGATTTGTCGCTGCACCAACTGTTCACCCACACAGAGATCGTACCAGGGAGAGAGGATTTGGATAACCCACCTATGAACGGTGTCCAAATGTCCCTGAAGGCAGCAGGAGTGTTCGCAGCCTGCCTGAATCATAGCTCAGGGTGATCAGCAGAGTGGTCGACCTCTCCGTCCTCACTGACGTCTTTTGTGTCCTGCTTTCAGAGCCGGTCGTAGAAGCAGAGAAGCAGCCTGAAGCAGCAGACGTGGATCCACAGAGTGAGACGCCCAAACAGACGGAGGCCGAGGGTGAGCTCGCCTGAGCAGACACGTTTCACTAAAACCAAATAAAAGGAAACATATGAGACGCCAACATTCTAGTTGGGTCCAGATTTACTGATTTATTCTGAGTTGAATGGTTCTGTCCAGAGGAGAGCGCCCCCTCCAGCTGAGCCAGCAGAGACATGATCTCTGCAGCGCCTCCTCCCAGTTAGACGCGCTTTAACCTGCTGCTGCTGCTTTCCTTCCCCTCGTGCATGGATTATGCTTCATCAGGAAATCTGGGATGTAGTGTACAACATGACTCCTTCCACCCACCTTTGAGACATTCAGTTAAACTGCATCATAATTTTAAGTTTGAAATCTCATCCTGCACCACACACCTGGACACAAAAACCAGACAAAGCGGCTGAAAAACAAAACCGTCTCCATCTTTGACGATAACGCTGTAATTCTGTGTCCGTCCAGGAACCTCAGAGAAACAGGCCGAGGACAAGCTGACAGAAAAAGGTGCAAACTGACGTAACGTGCAGATTTTCAGCTTCGTGCTTTTTATTTCTCTGCAGTTTTATCATCAAATCTTTTCCTCTCTGTTGTTTCTCCAGCAAAGAAGAAGAAACCAAAATTACTGAACAAGTTGGATAAAACCATCAAAGCAGAGATCGATGCTGCAGAGAAGCTTCGCAGGAAGGTACAAAATCTAAATACATAAATTACAGCTGCAAACAGCTGCACAGACGGCTGAGCCCGCCTGACGCTGCGCTCAGCTGTCTGCAGGTTTCCTTCACGATCATCTTCAATCAGACATAAAACACAAAGCTCATGTTCAGCCCTCAGCAAGCTCTCGACTTCCTGACAGTTTGAGTCCAAACGAAACAGTCTGGTGAACCGCAGCATGTCTGAGAGACTCGAGCTGCAATCTTCTGCTCCTGAACTCGGACACAACCAAAGTCACTATCCTGAAAACCTGCTTAGTGTTGCTTTGCACCGTTCAGCCTCAGTTTGGTCTGTCGGTCACGTTTTCTTGCTGCAGTCGGGTATTGTGGTGCAACTAGGAGCTGTATGAAAATACCAAACTAGTTTATCCACTCGGTTATCAGGGCTGTTAGCTCTGCTGCGACAGGCTCACAGTGCAGAGGTCACTTCCTGTCAGGGTTCTTCCTCCCCACGGTTGCCAGATGCTGCTCATTGAATGCCTGCAGCCTTTACACACATCTGACACTACCAGTCAGGAGTTTGGACACGCCTCCTCATTAAATGTTTTTTCTTTGTTTGTTATTTCCATTGTAGGTTCTCACTGAAGGCATCAAACCTCTGAGTGAACATGTGGAGTTATGTAGTAAACAAAAACTTTGAAGTTACTCTAAACATGTTTTGAACACGAGATTCTTATAAACAGCCACCCTTTGCTTTCATTACTGCTCTTCACACATTCATCAGGCCGCCACTCCTCGTGTTGCTAGGCCCAAACAACGTCTGCTTGTTGCTTTTCCTCAGTCGTGTTTCTCAGCAGCTGTTTGACCATAAAGGCCTGATTCCCACAGCCTCCTCTGAACATGCAGAGACGTGTCTGCTACTGGAGCTGTGTGGCATCTATCTGGGCTCTGATCTGAGCTGCTGTGAACTTGTGATTTCTGAGGCTGGTGACTCGTATGAATGTATCCTCAGCAGCAGAGGGACTCTGGGTCTTTCGTTCCTGCGCGTCCTCGTGTCAGACAGTTTCATCGTAGTCTTGATGATTTTTGTGCGACTGCACTTGGGGACACATTCAAAGTTTTAGCGATTTTCTGGACTGACTGACCTGCAGTTCTTAAAGTCATGATGAACTGTAGTTTCTCTTTACTTAGCTGATTGTTTCTTCCCATGATGGGAATTCTAACAGCTGTCAAATTGGCTGTCAGCTGTGCACCAACCTGACTGCTGCACAACGCAGCTGATGGTCAAACCTCCGTTAAGAAGGCAAGAAACTCCACCACAGGACAACAGCACAGGGTTCTTTGCTGCATGATTCTACGTTGCTCCATATATTTGATGTCTCTACAATGTATCAACAATGTAGCAAGAAGTAAAATGATGCAAAACAAAGGCAACAGTTCAACGAGCCGCAGATCAAACGGTAAAAGAAGGCGGTGACTTTCTTATTCGTCTCAGGAATAAACATTCGCGCCAACGCCAGCATTCAACCTGCTGAGGCTGTGATGTAATCAGTGTGTCTGTCCCTCTGTCAGGGGAAGCCGGACGAGGCGCTGAAAGCGTTTGAGAGGCTGGTGCAGCAGTACCCGCAGAGCCCCCGCGCTCGCTACGGGAAAGCCCAGGTATGCGACGGTCCCGCATCACGGCGAGCTGATACTGCGTCAGGCGCACGACATTAACGCGGTTCTGTGTGCAGGCAGAGGACGACATGGCCGAGAAGCTGCGCAGCAACGACATGCTTCAGAGGGCCATCAACACCTACAGGGAGGCCTCCGAGCTCCCTGACGTGACCTCTGACCTCCTGAGAGCCACGCTGAAGAGACGAGCTGAGAGGCAGCAGTTCCTGGGTAACGCGCACAGTAATGCAACACAAATGTAGTAAAAGCAATACATATATGAGCGCAGCTACTAAATAATCTAAAGGCTCCGTGGCCAGTATGGGGCTTGAACACAGAGACCGTGGAGAGGCCGTGTACCCTTCCTGTTTCCATTTGACCTTAGGTAATAACCCACCACACTACCTTTCCAGTATTCTGACTTCCTCTTATATTCTCAGGTCGGATGCGAGGATCTCTGGCGACCTTGGAAAGGCTGGTTCAGCTCTTTCCTGAAGACATCGGCCTGAAGAACGACCTGGGCGTCGCTCATCTGTTGCTAGGTGACAACAATGGGGCCAAGAAGATCTACGAAGAGGTGCGCGAATGGCAACAGCTTTAGCACACACACGAGTTATTTCAGTTTTTTGTTTTGGCGGTTCTCGCCTTGTAAAGGTCTCTGATTGGCTCTCTGTTCTCTATGCTCCGTCCACTAAGGTTCTGGGAGTCGCGCCCAACAACGGCTTCGCTAAAGTTCACTACGGATTCATCCTGAAGTCAGAAAATAAGATTGCAGAGAGCATACCGTACCTTAAAGTAAGCACACACATTTTCATGTTTGTGTGCACATGTGGGACCTTCAGCGTGTGTTTCACCAACGTGATGGGGACTGTGTTACACATTGTCAAAGAAACCACATTTACTTTATGAAATACTAGATTTCAAGAAACAAATGGGCAAGAGCAAACTGTTTCCTGCTCTGGATGTAAACTTTAAAATACACACAGTCTGCCTTTCCTTGTTTCCTGTCATATATCTCCTGTTTCAAAGTTGGATGTCCACACTAAACACAGCCAAACTTTAAAGGAAAGGATGTCTAAGCCTCATCCACGGAGAAATGTGAATCGTGCAGAATTTGAACGTCACGTTTCCCCTTCTCTCTCTCCAGGAGGGCTTGGAGTCAGGTGAGCCGGGAACCGACGACGGGCGCTTTTATTTCCACCTCGGAGACGCTCTGCAGAGGGTCGGGGACGACAGCGTGAGTAACGCCTGCCTTTGAGATATTTCACTCGCATTTACAGGCCAGTTACACCTCAGCACGTCACATCAAACCTCACAGGGATGCCACTGCAGCCGTGTTAACGACACGAGTGTGCGATCGCATCTTCACACCCAACTTTGTGAACACAGCAACCCGAGGCCTTCGTGTTATTAGTATCACACTCTGTTGGCCCCACTGAAAACGTGGTGTCTGTTTCTGGGCCAACACATTTGTCGGTGACGTAGCTGAGCTAACGTGGCCCAGATGAAGACTCAGTCTGGGTTTGAGCCTGCAGCCAGTTTCTCCACATGTTCCTGTATTTAACCAGCGTCTGAACAATGAGATGCATGTTTTAAAAAAGCTTTTCTTTAAATCGAGACCCAGTGAAGGAGCTAACAAGCTATGTGAGGCTTAAAGTTACACATCATGGCCAGTATGAGGCTTGAACCGTGACCTTGGCGTTATTAGCACCACGCTCTCACCGTTTATTGTGGTGTTGTCCTGAACGCGTCTGTGTCTGCAGGCGTACGACTGGTACGAGCTGGGTCACAAACGGGGCCACTTTGCGTCGCTGTGGCAACGATCGCTCTACAACGTGAACGGCCTGAAGGCGCAGCCCTGGTGGACGGCCAAAGAGACCGGATACACGGACCTGGTGAAGGTGCGCTGCCGTTCTGCCAGAACATTCACGTGTGCGATTTCGAGGTTTTAAACGTCGGCCATTTTCTGTGTGCCGCGTTCAGGTGTTGGAGAGGAACTGGAAGACCATCAGGGAGGAGGCTCTGGCTGTGTTGGACCAAAGCACCAGACACTTTGTACCCGAGGAGGAAAACCTGAGGGAGAAAGGAGACTGGGGCCAGTACACGCTCTGGCAACAAGGTGCACGGGAGATATTTTATAGTCCAGTCAGGTGTTGTCCTGCCTCTTATTACAGGTGTTACTGTCCCCTTTTTCTGTCTGTGGGAGGTATCAGGGCGTTTGTGTTTTTTACAGTTTTTAGATGTGACTAACAGCTGTGTTACTGTGTTTATCAACAATGTCTTTTCTCCTTTGTGTTCACGTTCAGGGAGAAAAGTTGGAAACGCCTGTCAGGGTGTCCCGAAAACCTGCGCACTGCTGGAGAGGTTCCCTGAAGCGACGGGCTGCAAGCGAGGACAGGTACAGGCTGTGAACACGGTTCTTTCTGCGGTGAAGTTTGGGATTTTAACAGGCAGACTCACTGTGGGAGCCCCATGTGGTCATTAGTGGAAGTGCAGTTTGTGTTCCTCTCGTAGGTTTAATAAACACGGCACATAAGTGGTCCGCAGGTGCGCATTCGCTGTCAGAATAGGTGAGCTGGCTTCAAACAAGTGATGAACGCACAGGGATGTGGTGCAGAATGTGCCGTGAGAATCCCACAGCAGCGGACAAAAACACTGTTTTATATGCACGCAAACACGCGCTGCTACTTCTTTTATTTTGACAGCGAATGCACACCTGCGGACCACTTATGTGCAGCCCTGTTAATAAAGGTCAGGCAGGGCTTAGGATGACATTTACAAACAGCAGGGGGCGATAGAGAGCAGCAGACGCCAGGGAAAAACTGTTGGCTCGCCGTAGCATAAAAAGCTTTTGGTGTGAAGACGAAGGAAGGGGCGTGTCCTCTGCAGCGTGTGCTCTGAGGATGAGGAGAGTGTCTTCACTCTAAGCTGTGAAGGTTAATCCTGAAGGAACAGCTGTGCAGATGTGCCATGAATGTGATTTCTCGCAGCGTTTCACGGTCTGAGGCCACTCGGCGTGTTTGATCCGCTCTTCCTGTCTCCGTGCAGATTAAGTTCTCGGTGATGCAGCCCGGCACTCATGTGTGGCCGCACACCGGGCCGACCAACTGCCGGCTGAGGATGCACCTCGGCCTCGTCATCCCCAAACGTGGCTGCAAGATCCGCTGCACCAACGAGACGCGGTGCGCCGCCCGCCTCCATCGCTCCCGTCCTCCTCCTCCATCATCAACCTCTTCTCCGGCTCTCTTCATTTCCTTTTTTCCTTCATCATGTCTTCCTACTCTCCTCGTTTTGCCTCCTTTTCTTCTTTCCTCTCCTTGATTTGTCACCTAATTCCTTCTTTGTCCTCTCTAACCTTGTCTCTTTTCCATGTTTCCTATCCTTGCTGTTTCTCTTGTTCTCCCCTCAATTCAGCCTTTTATGTTTCCTTTTCTTGTCTCGTCATCTTTACTTTCCTCTCTTTGTTTCCTTCTCTTTTCCTTTCCTTACCTTTTGTGTTTGGTTCTTCTCTGCATGTCTCTTCTCCTTGTGGAGTCCTCCCTTGCTTCCTTCCTTCTGCCCTGTGTCTCCCCACTTGTCTCTTTCTTTATTTCCTCTTTGTTTCCTTTTCTTGTAACCTTCTCCCCTTCCTGTGCTTCTTGTCATTTCCTTATATCCTCATTTCATCTCCTAGTTTCACCTCTTTCTCTTATTTCCTCATCACCTTGCCTCATTTCCTTCTGTTTTGCTGAGGAAACTCTTGTAAACCCTTCTTTTGCGTCCTTGTCCGCAGGGAGTGGGAGGAAGGTAAAGTCCTCATCTTCGACGACTCCTTCGAGCACGAGGTTTGGCAGGAAGCCGACAGTTACCGCCTCATCTTCATCGTGGACGTGTGGCACCCGGAGCTAACGCAGCACCAGCGCCAGACTCTGAGCCCGATTTAGACCGGCCAGAACCGGCAGGCGGTGGCGGGAGGGCGAATCGCAGGAGAGGATGGAGGCGGGGTTTCTTCTTCTTCTGTGGTTCAAACAGCTGCAAACACTGACAGTCTGAGTGTGAGCCGGGCTGAGGTGTCTGTTTGCTCGCGTGTGGATAAACTACTAAAGACGGTCGAAGGACCAAACATCAGCCTGGAGGATGGACGCGTCGTTGTTCGGGGTCATACTACTGACTGCCATCAAACTGAACTCATACGGTACTCGATTAAACCGGAGCGGACCGGATCGCCGCGGCATTACAGATCGTTCTGCTCTGAAGAAAGACACGAAACTAAAAGAGTGTGTGTGTGTGTGTGTGTGCTCAACTTAAAACACTAAAACGTCCGTCGAGTGGATTCAAAGCAGCTCAGTAACAGCGTGAAACAAGAAGCCTTAACTTTAGCTCGACCACGATGCATTTTATTTTCCATCCAGGCGGGTTTTTAATTTCACTCTTTCATCACTTTTGCACAATAACACGGCCACGCGGGGTGTCACAGAAGAGGATTTATATTTGTATTAAAAATAAAAACAATAAAAACATGAACAAGTCTCTGATTCTGTTTGTTCGTCTGACTTTCTTCCATTCCTTTGTTCTTCAGCTGATCTTACGGCGGCGGCGAAAGTGTTTGAAGGTGCGCTGGCTCTGGTTCCTCGTGCGGTGCTCCAGCTCGTCCGTCACGGGATTATTTTAATCCTGAAAAGACTGAAACCTGGAGGCTGTGAAGCCTGTGCTCTCCAGCCCCGATAGCCAGGCGTACAAACGGCACATACCTTATTATGACTAAAGAAGGAAAAAAGTCGGGTTTACAGCCAAAAATAATTCAGTCGACCCTTCAAAATAAAAGACACACTGTCAAAATAAAGCACACTGAGCGGTTTTGGTGTAAATGTTTACTTGTTTACATTCATTGAAAGGAAATACATTACGTTGGAGTCGAGTGGAGATCGGGTGTAGCCCTGATGACGAATCGTACACACTGCAAAAAAATCTGACAAAGTCACCGTTGTGTTTTTTACAAATACTCGACGGTATGTTCAGAGAAAAATCATCGACCTGCATGTTAAACTGAAACCTGAATCTTCTCTGCTGCAGGAAGTGAATCGACTTCAAAAATCTCAGGATAACATTTTAGCCCGGTGTGTCACTTTTTGCAGTGCAATAATACTAATAACAATAATATTAATAATAATATACAATCTTCAAATACATTAGATTAAAAAACAACAAACAATCTTTTCCTTCACTGCAGGAGAGGTTAAAGGTGAGAGTTTGGCATCCTGTGGTTTCTCCACAGCAAAATCATTCCATGCATGTCATCCAGAGCTTTTATTTTGAAATGCCTGTGCAAAGTGGGTGGAAATAGGTGAAACTATTCTACCAAAGTGAAGTCTCCTTCACCCCAGCCTCGCTGGCTGAGCCGCGGGAACGTTCCCGCCTGCATTTACTTTCTTTCCTACGGAGATTTTCCCAAAGCTGCAGAAAGATTTGGCTCAAATTAAACAGTTTTCATTCATATTCAGATAAAGATCATAAAAACTAAAAGTTTATTTTCACATTCAGAGGTTTGAAGGTTGGGTTTCACCAAAAAGGATTTCCTTTAAACACAGACTCGCCTTTAAATTTATTCAAAATGTTTCTTTAAAGCAGCTTTTACTGCAGTTTGACCACTGGGGGGCAGCAGAGCACGCTCTGCATTTCAGACATCTGAACTGGTATCTGTCTCCACGCCATCAATTTAGTACTGGGTGTCTTTTTGCTCCGTTTTTGGTCTCCACCACCTCCAGAGGGAAGCATTTATCTGTTTAGCTGCTGAGAAGCCACAGAGGCTTTTTCTTAAAGATTCAGACGTGCTGTGATGTCAAAAATAAACCCAAGATGTTCAATTATTATGTAATTAAAACACTCTTTATTTTATTCTTGATATTATTAAAGATTTCGAGTTGTTTAACTTACTATCAGCTGTATACTGCAGCAGTAACAAATGGGTGGGTGTAAGCTTAGCAATACATTTAATAGCTACACTACAAAAATATCTTATGTGCTAAATATAATAACCCTATGTAGATTTTTAGCGATAATAAATCTTTAATGTGATCTAAAACATTTAAAAATGTCTCATATTTTCGTTTTTATCTCCACTGTTACTCAGACACGTCGCAGATCTGTTCAGTGATAGAAAAACTGACATGTGAATTATAAAGTACATTTGCTTTTATTTGATGAAATCCCAGAAAAGATCCAGATATAACGCCGCTAATTTAATTAACTTGCACACATGTGCATTATTGCTCATAAAAAGCTTTTCGAGTTATGACTCGATGAAACACAGACGTGAAGCAGCTTCAGCGTGACTCACATATCGCTACGACGATGTTTGGCTTTTTGGATAAACGACCAAAACAATCTGAAAATAACTGTCTGCAGAACTTCCTTGAAAATAAGCACGATTTTAAGTTTCCTTCGGTATCGCAGTAACCCAGCAACAGCTACCTGCACATTTATGCACACACTGCGAACAGTAACTGCTAATACTGAATTCAGCTATTGGACTGATTCCATGGCAACCTTGTACTTCCTGTTTTTATCCCTGGAAGCAAAATGGGAACAGTAGTTTTCTTTGTGAGAAAACTAAATAACAGAAGGATTTAATGTTGTGACTGAGTGTTGTCTCTGTTTAAATGAACCTTGTTGGTGCAACCCTCTCAAATCTAAATTTGATTGTAACTGTTTCTCCATAGCAACGTCTTTGTGAGGTTTTACATAAAGTTTCAACTCTGTCACATTTGGCCCTTTTTGTTTGTTTCTGACTCTGTTCACAGAAACTTCATCCTGTCGCGTATCTGAAGTCATGAGATAAACGCCGCTGGTGCACAACAGGCGATGACACACACACACACACGTTTGATTTGTGTGTTTGTGTTGCTGCTGTTTGTTGTTGTGAACATCAGGACAGATACTGCTGGCTGGAGAGAGGCTCAGCTGAGAGGCATTAGACGGCTCAGAGACAGGTCAGACTGTGTGTGTGTGTGTGTGTGTGTGTGTGTGTGTGTTACGTGGACGTTGTGTGTGTGCATGTGTTCAGTCCAGGGCCAGTAGCGGTGTGCTGGTCTCTCTGTCCGTCTGTCGCAGAGTTCCTGGTTCCACCGCCGACTGAGACCTGAAACACAAACTCCTCCCATGAGATGACCAGCACACAGACTGTATATGAAAGATGGACATCCCACTGATTCAGCAAGCTAACGGAATACAGACTGTATATATATATATGTGTGTGTGTGTATATTAGAGATGGACCGATCCGATATTACGTATCGGTATCGGTCCGATACTGACCTAAATTACTGGATCGGATATCGGAGAAAAATAAAAAATGTAATCCGATCCATTAAATATCACGAAAGCACCTCACAAAACTTGCAACACGCCGTAACTCACCTCAGAACGTTAGCACGTCGGAGCAGTATGCATCACGTGATAGAGCGGCTGTGGCATGCGGGACCTGTCGGTGGTCTGGATAGCATTTGGAGCTTCGCTAGCAACCCGGCATTTCATCTCCGACAAAGTTATCCCGAGAGAAGTAAAGCAAGTGTGTAAGTCCATCTCTGAATGTTTGTAAAGCATTCCTGCGTTAAGCTTAACAAGCGACTGCCTCTCGCTCTCCGGCTGCTACTTCAATCATGAAACTGCTTAACGATCAGCTGATCGGCTTTTCTGTCGCGAGTCCGTGTCTCTAGTTTGCTTTTGGCCCACTTTGCACCAGAAAGAGGAAACCAGCGGCTGAACAACAGCAGCACGTTTAAGCTTGATCAGCTGTTGTTAGAATTTATTTAATATTACTTTCTACACCAGGATCTTTTCTACGTAGCTGACGCTGGTAACTGTGCAGGGGCGGATCTAGCAAAGTTTAGCCAGGGGGGCCGATAGGGCATTAACAGGGAAAAGGGGGCACAAAGACATACTTTTCTTTCTTATTCTCATTTAAAATGTCGAGCTTTTAATAAATAATTATCTGACACCCAAAGTTTTAATTTGATGTAAAATGAATAGAAGTCAATTACTGTATATAGTAACTATTAAGTCTAATATACCCTAGTAAGCTATAGTACTTTTTCCTTTGGGAAGGTACCATCTGTGCAGTCTGCAATTTTGTTGAAGAAAGATGTTGAATCTATTTAATATTTCTTGAAAAATAATTGATTTCTGTGCATTTTTTTTCACACTGCATCAAATTAAGGTTGATTACGTCGATTAAGCATCATGAGGTGGAGCGTGAGGGGTGGTTCCCTATTTTTTATTTATTTATTTTTGTTGTTGCTGGGAGTTGGAACCCTATTAGTTAGGTTGCTTAATATTTATGCTAAGTACTCTTTAAAATACCAGAATAGGGAGGATGGTGTAGGTTTAAGTTTATTAGATTGATCAGTATTGCTGAACTATGAAATATTTTTTTTTGCATACAGGTATAACAGAATAGCTTTAGTGTAGTTGTTGTTTTAAACTTGAGTATGAACTTATACAAAATGCAGCAAGATATTTAAAAAACAGTTTTGTTGATTAAAAACACTATATCGGATTCAGCGGAGCACCCAGTTATTAGTGTTGGGGGCAGTTAGCTTCACAGCGCTGTGTATTTACACTCTGTGGATGGAGCAGCTCGTTAAGATGGCAGCAGGTTTAAGCCTTGGGTGAGCTGCAGAAGCTTTTTAGATTTAAAATGAGGCCGTGTCATCCGTAACTTCTCAGGATCGACCCGGTGACCCATCGATGGCGAGGGTTTGGGGGCGGGGCGCGCACCTTTCTACAGGTTTATCTGTTTAAAAACACCGAGCTAAGAAACATTTTACGAGAATATCAGAATAAATGTATCAGACCTACTTTGAACTGTAACAGTTTCTAGTTTCTGTGAGTTTTACTTCATGTTGTGACGCGTCACATCTTAGATTGTGTTTCTTTGTGTTGTGTAGTGAGTCAGCCTTGTTTAGTATTGTGGTCAGATTTGTGTTTTCCTGTTGTGAGTTCAGGTTTTGTAAATGTTTCAAGAAAGAAATCAAATATTTAACTTCCTGCATCGGCCCCTTCGCTCATCCTCACCTCTTCATCATGTCCTTGTCTCCTCCTCCTCCACAGTTCTCCCTGACGTGCAGGGCGTCGTAGGTGAGCGTGTACTCGGTCTCGTCATTGTAGTCGGGTCCCAGCAGCGTTCGCGCCCAGATGCCCATATCGTACGGCGGCAGCGTCCCACCAAACTCGGACGGCAAACACTCGGGATGGATGAGCTGGTGGAGCGAGTTCAGGTTGTTGCCGTGGAGGAAGATCTGAGGAGAGTGAGCAGAGGCGAGGTTAACCTCGTAACGTCTGACATTAGTGCCAGAATAACAGGCGCAGGAAGTCCAGCTCACCCTCTTCCTGGTCTTGTCTTTGAGGAACGGCTTGATGATGGTGTACATGGCGTGAATGTACCAGGGCTGATTCACAAAATGGATTCCTCCGAAGCGAGCCGGGAAACTGTCCTGAGGAAAGGAGAGCAGAGCAGGTCGTTTCAC